GGTTTAATGACTTGGCCAGGGTCATAGCCTGGATGAGGCAAAGGTGAATTTTGAACCTAGGTTTTCTTCACTGAGGTTGAGTTGAGTTCTCTCTCTCTCTCTCTCTCTCTCTCTCTCTCTCTCTCTCTCTCTCTCTCTCTCTCTCTCTCTCTCTCTCTCTCTTTCCCCCCTACATAAGGAATTTTTTCTCCCTCCCTCTCCATGAGCATGCACACACATACACACTAACACAAATCACTAGCTTTGATTCAATGTATTGACCTATGATACAATGGGGAAAACATTGACTCTACAATCATAGTTTTTTTGGGTATAGATCCTGCCTCTGATGCTTACTATATGTGTGACTTTGGGCAAGTCACTTAACTCCCTAGAGCTTCAATTTCCTCCTCTGTAAACTGAGAGCATTGGACCAGATGGCTTCTGAGGTCTATGGTCCATGACATAAGATCTATAACCTCAGGTTTGTCTCTATCCCTCTAGTGTGGGAACTGATTGACAAGTCATCCTGGGAGGAGGTAGATGCATTGGCTGTTTCAGGGCACCTGTTACTGCTGAGGCCCTGGGAGAACTTTCAGTTGACACTGCCTTTGCCACCTTCTAGCCCCAGATCTTAGCCAAGATGGTGGATAAAATGATAGGTCCATGATAAATCTCTTGCTGCTGAACCTAATATAGGGAACCACCACATTATTGCAGGAACAACTGCAGGGAAGGAGGACATACACAAATATGTGTAAAAATGACAAAGTTAGTAATCTTGGAGAATCTCTATTGTTCTGTTATCTCTCACTTCCTATTTCTAATTCACTCTCCCCTCTGACCCTGCCTCTCTTTTTCTATCTCTCTCTATCTCTCTGTCTGTCTCCCCACTCCCTTTGGTTCTCCCACTTCCTCACTCTCTTTTTTAAATTATTTCCTCCTACAAAAAAGCCATCCAGGGCCAATTCCAGTTGTCCTGATCCATATCTTGCCAGTGGATCTGATGACTCCAGGGGAGAAAGTGAGGCTAGTGATTTTACACAGTCCTCCCTTCCTTAAATCCAATTCACTTGCAAGTCATGGCACCACCTCTCTGATGTCATGGTCCTTTTGAGAACGAGGGACAAACAACAACCGAAGAGCACTGGATTTGCAGTCAAAGGAACTGGGTTCAAATCCTCTCTACCATTTACTATCTATGTGATATTGGCCAAGTCAGTTAAACCTCTCTGCACCCTGATGTGTTCAACTGTAAATTGAAATAGTTTAGACTAGGTGACTGATAACTAAGGTCCCTTACAGCTCAAAACCTTGGGTTCCATATTGAACACAAGTAAACACTTTAAAAATCTAAGCTGCCCAATTCTAAACTGGTACAAAGATGGTAATCTCTTCTTTTACAAGCTTCTGTATCGGAATCCTTGAACAAGTGAACTTCCCTGGTACTTTCAAAACATAGTTAGATTTACATAAATGCCACCTACACTCAGCTTTTCCAAGAATGTATCTAGTGAGCAGAGCAAGATTCCCTTGTGCCTTGCATAATTTCAGAATGACGGGCCAAGGGGCTGCCCCTGGATGGGATCAAAGGGAGAAGCAACAGAAGGGGAGTGATTATCAGCAGAAGTGGCAATATCTCTCACTACAAGCTCCACCCCCTCTGGCGCTGACTGTCTACTTTGGGCTACCCCAGAGCCTCGCATTTATTATGATATTGCATCTTGTTACCAAAAAAATAGAATCATAATGCTGCAGACACATGTAGATTTTTTTTAAAAGCCCTTTCACATGTATTATCAAGCACTCCATACACTGTGGGCATGCTATGTAAAATGCTGGGAAACCCAGTTTATGTCTCTGGGCTGCAAATCCCCCATGTGTAAGAGGAGGGGGTTGATCTAGATTAGGACTAAAACTTAACCTGGGGTCTGTGAGCTTGTTTTAAAAGGTATTTTGATAATTTTTTAAAAATCATTTTGGTGTCCTTTGTAATCCTGCATATTTTACTTTGTACACTTAAAGACATGATTCTGAGGTGTCCATAGGCTCCAGCCTGCCGAAGGGGTCCAACCCAGACATAGAAAAGGGGAAGAACCCTTGTACTAAATGATCTTTTAGGAACCTGTCAGCTCCAATAATTTAGAATTAGATTCTCCCTTAAAGATTGTACCCATGATTCTATATCTTGAATACTGAATAGATAATATAACTCTGTGGGCACAAAGCATTTACTAGGTGTGACAAGAGATACAGAAAAAACTAACATAGTTCCCACCCTTGAATAGTTTACAATCTAATTGGGGAGACTTGGGCTGACTCTTAAAGCCCTTTGAATGGGCAGACCAGGAGAAGATACTTCAAGTGTCAGGAACAGCATTAGAAAAGAACAGGAGGCAAAAAATGAGCAAAGAGTGTTGTAGAGACATTGGGTAGACAAGTTAGCTGAAATAGGCTAATAAAGGGAAGTAATGAAAAATAAGGGCAGAAAGGTGGGTTGTGACCAATATATAGTGGACTCAAATGCCAAGGTAAAGAGCTTAAACTTTATCAAAAAGGCACTGGAAAGCCCTTGAAAGTTTCTAGGGGAGTGATATGAGAACAATGTTTGAGGAAGCTATCTATCTGGTGGTGATGAGTAGGATGGATTCAAGGGAGGAGACTAGAGGCAGGGAGACTGGTTAGGAGGCTTTTGCAGCAATCCAGGTGTGAATGATAAGGGCTTGGAATTAGGGTGGGAATGGTAAGGTAAAAATAGAGGTGAGGCATTACAAAGGAAGGATTGAAGGGACTTGGCAACAGATTGGATGGGGGCTGGGGGAAAGAGAGAGAAGAGTCAAGAAAACTGAGGGATGATAGTCCCTGATGGAAAAATAAAGGCATCAACAAAAAATAAGGAGCCTGCTTTGGGGCAGAGATGAGTTTGGTTTACGTCTGTTGAGTTTGAGGTGAGGGAAGAGCATCCAAGTGGAACTATCCAGTGGGCAGTTGAAGATAAGTTCATTTCTAGTTCCAGAATAAGAAGAGGCATCATCTCCACAGAAATGGCAATTGAATCATCGAGGGTGAATGAGATGTCCAAAGAAAAGCACGAAGGAATCAAAAAGCAGGAGACCAAGGGCTGATGTACTCACTTTTCAGGAGTAGGAAAAAGCAGAGGAATCAGTAGGAATGTCAGAAGTAGCTAGAGAACCTAAGATAGTACAGTGTTACAGACACAGAGAGTGGGCAGTAATGTCAATGCTCGAGAGAAATGAAAGAGAACTGAGAAAAGATCACTGAATTTGGCAAGAAGGAGGTTATTGATGACTTTCTGGAGAGCAGTTTCAGGAAGGTGATAAGAAGCAAGCCTGCCAGTGATTAGGGATAAAGAAATGTCATGTAAGTAAAGGCAGACACTTGGCTCTTGGTTCCTGAAGGGAAGGGAGAAGAAAGAATGATTACTGTAGGATGTAGCAATATGAAAATTATTTTTCTTAGATGAAGGGACTAATAGCAAATGGGAATTAGGCAGCAGTGGAAAAGTGATTCAATATGTTGAAAGAGAAATGATTGACATAGCTGCCTGGAAGAGGTTGGAAAGAGTGGAATTATTAGCACAGAGAGATTAACCTTGGTAAAGAGAGGGAACACCAACTCTTCTTAAACCAAGAGGAAAGGAAAGGAGTATGGGATGAAGGTGACAAAATATTTGCGTTAGAGAAGAGGGAAATGAAAGTGTTCAGGCCAAATGATTTTATTCTTCTCTGTAGAGTAAGATACAATGTCAACTGATGAGAGCTAGGAGAAGAGTAGGGAATGGAGGCAGTGGAGAAAAAGGTGAAGATTTGGAATAAGTACTATAAGGAGTGTGCTGGAGAATCAACAGGAGATAGATGGAAGAATTGATGAGCTACATGGAGGTATCAATTAAAATTGTACAGTACCTATTTACAGTGAGTTCTATTTTTGATTCTAGAAAGCTTTGAGTCCTAGGATTAAAGAAGGTAAATAGGTGACTCTGTATGAGAGATTGGCTCAGCAGCCATAACTGGCATGATAGTAAGCCTAGGGAGCAAGGAAATCCAGGCTGTTAGTGAAGTAGAGATTGAAGTGACTAACTATAGAGTATGGGACTCCAATGTTGCCTCTCCACCTCAAAAGAGTTTGTTCAGTAGGGAGGTTGAAAGAAAGGAAACAGAGTTGGAAAGAATCAAAAATCAAGAAAAAGAAGGGCAAGATGGAGAATAGACTAGAGGGAGTAAAAGAAGGAGTGAAGGGGCAAGATAGACTAAGAGAAAGATGCTGGTGGAGAGATCAAAGAGATCAACCAACGTTCCCCAGTTTCCACCTTAATTACTAATTTAGTCTAAATAAAAAGAAAAGAATCAATAGAAAATGACATCAGGCTAATATGGAAATATGTTTTGCATGACTTAACATGTATAATAGGTATTGTATTACTTGCCTTCTCAATGGATGAGGGAGGGCCTGGAGAGAGGGAGAGAATTTGGAACTGAAAAATTTTAAATGAATGTTTCAGAAAGTGACATCTAAAGCTTAGGAGCATTATGCAATCTGCTTTCTTTCAGCAGTCAGCATTTTCAAGAAAATATTACACACATTCCTCTCCCATCCCCAAGTGTTAAAACCAAGGTTGTACTTTCTGGCTGGAAAATATTTCCTACTTTCAATAATGTTAAAATGAGCAGGAGGGACACCACGGTGAAGTGGAGCATATGGTGGATCTGGATTGGTCAGTTCCCAGCTCTGACACTTACTACCTGTGTGAGCCTATACAAGTCATTTAATGTGTCTGGATCTCAGTTTCCTCATCTATAAAATGAGGCAGTCTGCCCAGATGATGTCTGAGGTCCCTGCCAGCTCTAGATCAATGAGCCCATAATTGAGTAGTATACGCCCAGCTACAGCTCTGAAGTACAGGCCTTCTTCCCCTGCTCCTCTTTCTGCTTTCATCCTTTTCAAGCATTAGATAGTGTTATGCTAGAAAGGCAGAATGTAACCAGTTTGGTATCTCTAACCTTGGAGCCAAGTATTTATCAGCGGAAGCCCAGGTTACTGTCTTGTTTAGTCTGCCTGGTCCTTTGGTATCTTACTGGGTCACAGGAACACCACAGTCGGCTAATGCAAATCCTTGCTCTCCCACATTGACGAAGAGAATTGTTTCAGACGTAGCAAATGATTCTCTCCTCAGTTGGATTGCTCCAAGAACTGTGTTCCCATGTGTCTCAGACAAGACGTCAATGGCAGCACTGACCTAAGGAGATACTGAAATGTAACTAAAACATGAAGGAATTTAAGATTCCCTGTCCTTCCCCTCCCCCAGTAACTGAAGTTCCCTGGTGTTCCCAGTAATCCAAAGCCTCACCTCTATTTTTACCTTCCTAATTCCCTGGGTTGTTGACCCTTCTCAGAAAGACTGAGAAGAAATTTTTCAAAAATCTCCTTACCACAGCACTAGCTTCCATCAAAGGCAGCTGGGTGACACGGTAGATAAAGTAGAGGGCCTGAAATCAGGAAGACTCATCTTCTTGAGTTCAAATCTGGCCTCAGACACTACCTGTGTGACCCTGGGTAAGTCACTTAACTCTGCCTCAGTTTCCTCATCTGTCAAATGAACTGGAGAAGGAAATGGCAAACCACTCCAGTATTTTGCCAAGAAAACCCCAAATGGGGTCATGAAGAGTTGGACATGACCGAAAATGACTGAACAACAACAACAAACTTCAATTAATAAACATTTAAAACAAAATTTTAATTTATTTTAATTTATCAATAATCACTTCCACAAGCTTTCGAATTTTAAATTTTTCTCCCCCTCCCTCCCCAAGACTGCATGCAATCTGATATAGGCTATACATATACATTCCTATTAAACATATTTTCACATTTATGATCTTCTAAGGAAGAATTAGAACCAATAGAAGGAACCACCAGAAATAGAAAACAAAACGAAACAGAAGAAAAAAATGGCAAATTGTATGCTTTGATCTGCATTCAAACTTCATAGTTCTTTCTTTGGATGTGGATAGCATTATCCATCATGACACCTTTGGAGATTTATTAGACCCTTGCATTGCTGAGAAGGGATTAGTCTATCAATGTTAGTCGTCGCACAATGTGGCTGTAGTTGCATACACCGTTCTCCTGCTTCTGCTCACTTCACTCAGCATCACACCATAAAAGCCTTTCCAGGTTTTTCTGAGGACCACCTGCTCATCATTTCTTATAGCACAATAGTGTTCCATTACATTCATATACCACAACTTATTCAGCCATTCCTCAATTGATGGGCATTCCCTCAATTTCCAGTTCTTTGCCACCACAAAAATAGCTGTTATAAATATTTTTGTACATATGTGTCCTTTTCCTATTTTTATGATCCCTTTGGGATATAGCCCTAGAAGTGCTATTGCTGGGTCAAAGGGTATGCACATTTTTATAGCCCTTTGGACATAGTTCCAAATTGTTCTCCAAAATGGTTGGATCATTTCACAACTCCACCAACAATGCATTAGTGTTCCTATTTTCCCACATCTTCTCCAACATTTATCATTTTCCTGTTGGGTCACATTGGCCAATCTGATAGGTGTTGTTTTGATTTGCATTTCTCCAATCAATAGTGATTTAGAGCATTTTTTCATATGACTATAGATGGCTTTAATTTCTTTATCTGAGAACTGCCTGTTCATATTCTTTGACCATTTATCATTTGGGGAATGACTTGTATTCTTAAAAATAATAAACATTTATTAAGCACCTACTGTGTACCAGGAACTGTGCTAAGTTCTGGAGATACGACAAGAGGCAAAAGTTCCCTCAAGGAGCTTACACTCTAACGGGGGGAGGGGGGGATAACATGCAAACAAATATATGGAAAGCAAGATTATACAGGATAAATAGGAAATAATTAAAAGATCAAAAGCACTGGAATCAAGAGGGTTTGGGGAAGACTTCCCATAGAAGGTAGGATTTTAGATGGGACTTAAAAGAAGCCAGGGAATCCTGCAGAGCACTTATTTGATTTCTGCTTCTATTGCCTCTAGGTCAGGGATTCTTAACCTTTTTTGTGTCATGGACCCCTTTGACAGTCTAGGGAAGTCCATAGGCCCCTTCTCAGAATAATATTGCCTATATTCACAATTGAAGGAAATGCTAAATTTCAGTTATAGGTTAGTAGAAATAATGCTGGGGGGGGGTTCATAGACTCTTCTTGGAGGTCCAAGGACTCTAGGTTAAGGACCCATCCCCAGGATAAAATACAAATTCCTCCATTTGACATTTAAAGCCCATTGCAATCTATCCCCAACCTATCTTTCCAGACTGATTGCACATTACCTTCTCCTCCCAGATACTCTACATTTTAGCCAAACTGGTTTGCTTGCTGTACACCCCCCAGTCCAGCTCATGGTACACATCTCCAGCCTCCATTCCTCTGCACAAACTCTCCTAGATGCCTGGATATCTTCCCTTCTCGATTCCAACTCTTGGAATCCCCTACTCCCTTCAAGCCTCAGTTCAAGGGTCACCTCCCACATGTGGCTATTCCTGGTTCCCAAAAATGTTGGTTGATAGTTGATTCCTTTCTCAAAAAAAATACCCTTTGTGTTTATATGTGTCTTAAGGGCTTTTCTGTACATGCCCAGATGACCTAACATAAAGGCACTATGTTTCTGGGAGAAGACAGCCTGTGTTCTCTTATTATGTAGGTGGGAGTAGTCTCCTTCGATTGGCTGCATAGCCAGAAGAGGCTGCATCTTTAGAACAGTCAGACTGGAACATTTTCTCTCTCTCTTCTAGTAATACCCAGAGAGGGTGAGGTTCATGTTCATCTTCGGGATGAATACCATGAGTTGACTGGGTAGGGGGAGGGACTACCTTCCCTTCCAACCTCCTTTTACTCAGGAGCCCAAGAGAATATGGCTGGTGTTTGTGTTTAGCTCATTTTGTTTATCCTTTTTGGTTCTAGATGCAGGTAGTGGGATCATTACTGGAGTCTGAGCTATAATGACTTGGGATGTGCAGCCACCCAGCTCAGCGAGCAAGCCCTGAGAAGCCAAGGTATCCCAGACTCCAGTAAAAGACGTGCTTTGGACTTGGAGCCTGGTGGGACTGTGCAACATGGGGTCTAAGCTCAGCCGTGAACCTAATCCTCTCCCCCTCTGCCTCCCCCACCATGAGGTGCCCCAGCAGGATGTTATGCTCCCAGGTATTGGAGGGAATGTTTGGTTGTTTATTCTTGCTACATCTTTGAAGTAAATATTCCTCTAGAGAGCTAATACAACTATTAAATGTTTAAGTGAAACTAGGATGTCAGGATCCCTTGTACTTGGGGAACCTGAATCTCATCTGTAGGGGCTAGACAGAGAGCCTAGATATTCCAAAACCCCTTTAAGGTATCAGAGAACCCTGGTGAAGTGGAACAGACCTGGCCTTTAGGCACTAGTATATATACCAGGGTGATTCCTGTTAGATTTGGAACACAGCCCCACAAATATATCCCCACAAATTCTCTTTTGGGTTCAATATGGTAACCATGTTGTTTTTACCAGTGAAATATAAGTTCCTTGTGGCCAGACCTGGGTTTTTATTTTTCCACCTGTATCCCCAGTGCCCAACACAATGCCTGTCATACAGGAGATACTTAATATGTAATTGTTAAACTGAATTTAATTGCTAGGGAAATCAACGTACAACCTACTCCAAAAAGGAGGAATAGAAAGGTATTCAAGGTACAAGTAATTGTTTATATGATAGCAGGTCAAGCTGGTTGTTTCTTCTGTAGCCATGTATTTTTGGCTACCCAAAGACTGTATACAGTCAAAAAGCAATTATTAAGCACTTATTATGTGCCAAGAACTGCTAATAAGACTGCCCAAATTTTTCATATAATAATAATAAAACAATCAAAAAGCATTCACTATTCCCCAGTTGAAAAGGGTCAAAAGGACATGAACAGGCAGTTTTCAGAAGAAGAAATCAAAGCTATCAAAAGTCACATAGGAAAATGTTCTAAATCATTACTGATAAGAGAAATGTAAATTAAAACAGCTCTGAGATACCACCTCACATCTATCAGATTGGCTAACAGAATAGAAAATGAAAATGATAAATGCTGAAGGGGATGTGGAAAAATTTGGACACAACACATTGTTGGTAGAGTCGTGAACTAGTCCAACCTTTCTAGAGAATAATTTGGAACTACACCCAAAGGCTCATATAACTATGCATACCCTTTGACCCAGCAATACTGTGACTAGGTCTGTATCCCAAGGGAAAAGGACCTATCTGTACAAAAATATTTATAGCAGCTCTTTTTGTAGTGGCAAAGTATTGACGATTGAGGGGATGCCCATCAATTGGGGAATGGCTGAACAAGTTGTGGTATATGAATGTATTGGAATACTGTTGTGCTATAAGAAATGATGAGCAGGATGGTTTCAGAAAAACCTGGGAAGACTTAAGTGAACTCATGCAAAGTGAAGTAAGCAGAACCAAGACAACACTGTACACAGTAACTGCAATACTCTAAGGATGATTAACTGTGAAAGACTTAGCTACTCTGATCAAGACAATGATGTGAGACAATTCCAAACGATATGTAATGAAAAATGCTATCGATCTCCAGAGAGAATCGTTGAACTCTAAATGCAGATTGAAACATACTTTTCACTCTTTTTCTCCCTTTTTGTCTGCTGTTTTTTGCAACATGGTTAACATGGAAATATATTTTGCATGATTTCATGTGTAATAGATTTCAAATTGCTTGCCTCCTCGAGGAAGGGGAAGGGGCAGGAGGGAGGGAAAGAATTTGGAACTCAATTTTTTTAAAAAATGAATATTAAACATTTTACATATAACTGGAAAATATTTAACAAAATGAATAAAAATATATTGGGGAAATGTATTTATTAGGCACCTAGTAAGTGCCTGACACTGTGTTAAAAACTGGAGCTACAAAGAAAGGTAAAAACAGTTCCTGCCCTCAGGGAGTACACATTCCATACTAGTTAGTTCCCTCCATTAAAGTCCTGCTCCCTAAGCCTGATTGTGATCTAGGTCCCTGAAAACCCTGCCATTGAGTTCAAATCCGGGATTTGACTCTTCCTATCTATGTGACCAGGGATCTGTTATGTAATCTCTCTGGATTTCAGTTTCCTCATCTATAAAATGAGGGAAATTGGACTAGAAGCCTTCTTATGGCCCTATAATCCTAAGCCCTATCAAAGTTCTACCTACCAACCTGGAAAGTCTCTCACGAGGAATCTAGCAACCAGCCTAGTGAATACTGACATTTCAGTAATGAGTTAACCAATGGAAGATTAGCCATTAGGTGATACATTCTATGGCCAAGGTATCTCATGAAGGCAGTCTACTAAGGCAGAAAGGGATTTTGATCCTTTTGGTGGAGGGAATGAACACACTGATTAAATGTTACAACTTAAAAATAATACTGAGGTAGTGGGCATGGGAAAAAAAGAACTTACTAGGACTTAACCTTATGGGAAGTTTGGGGCCCAGAGGACATCGTTCATTAGGTAGTAATCAACACTGCTAGGTGGCACAGTGGAAAGAGTTTTGGGTTTGGAGTCAGGAAGGCCAGATTTCAAATCTAGCCTTAGACATTAGCTGAGCAAGTCACTGTCTGCCTCAGTTTCCTCAACTGTAAAATGGGGATAATAATAGCCCCTACCTCACAGGATTATTATGAAGATTAAATGAGATAATACTTATAAAGCATTTGACACTGTGCCTGCCACACAGTAGATACTAAATAGATATTTGTTCCCTTCCCTATTTCCCTTTCCCCTATAACCTTGAGTAATTGCTGCTGGGCCCAGGGGGCTGGAGCACTATGCCCATTCCTTCTTTCTAAGGGGCCCTTCTGCTCTGGACCTGCGGTATGAAGTCTAGACTGGATTCAGCTTTAGAGGAGCCTGCCCTCTAAGGAGTAGGATAGAAGATGGAGAGGTTTCCTTTTCTCACATACTTTGACTTAGACACTTGGGGACTATGTACTTATGGCTTATGTTTAGGTTCACGTGTAGGGTTTCCCCAATAGGGGGAGTGGAAATTCACATAGTGTACAATATGAATCAGATATGGGACAGGTATTTATTTCCTACACACAAAAGAAAAGCTAACACACACAAACCCATTGACAGTAAGGCAAAATAGGATTCAGTAACTTAATAACTATAGTTATACTCACTCAAGTGGCTGAGACTTAAAACTCATCAGAATGTAAAGCAGTTTGTGGTATTGCTGATTAAGCATTTTACATTTTCTTGTTTTCGGCACTGTCCAAAAAGGAGAAGGAAGAGGGCGGGGAATAAGCATTTCTATAGCATTTGCTATGTTCCAGGCACTGTGCCAAGTGCTTTCTACAAATAGTTTATTTAATCCTCACAACAACCCTGCAAGGTAGGTATTATTATTATACCCATTTTACAGTTGAGGAAACTGAGGCAAAGAGAGGCTTAAGTAACTTGGTCAGAATCACAAAGCTAGCCAGTGAGGTTGAATGTGAACTCAGGTCTTCCTGATTCCAATGCTCTATCCACTATGCTACTAGCTGCCTATAAAAGAATCCCTGGTAGATGGCTGCTGGTAAGATTTCTGGGCTTGGGCTTCTTGTCAGTGACCATCCTCTTCAGTGCCACCAGCCAGCTGCATTCATTGGTATCCCAGACCTCTGGACCTCTTAAACTCACAGGTTCATCTCCCAACCAAATTCTTTTACCCAGACAAGGGGAAAAAGGAGAAAAAGCACCCAGGGACCCAAGTGCAAGCTCACCTAGTGCAATCTTCCTCCATTAGTGGGCTAGGTCGCAAAATGCCAGAGCTGAGAAGAGTCAGCTAGTCCTCACCCCTCACTGAAAGTCTTCGGATCACACGATGCCACCTGGAAGGTCAGCCAAAAACTTTTTTGTTTTAGCTGATGAAGCACTCAGCCTCACAGCTGCTATCAGAGAGTGGGGACGGGAGACCCAGGAACCACTCAGAGTTCACCACATCCTACCACAATGCCAATCCTTGAAATGCTAGGTAATCACACTGCCTGAAACAGCCAGGAAATTCCTCCTCTCTTAGGATCCCAGCAGAATTGCCGTGTCTCTGCAGACCTAGAAGTTTCCATGGGAACTTCAGGTACAGGCTCCCGAGGGTGGCCCCAAAAGTCCACTGAACCTCCCCTACACTACCCTTATTCCCTTCTCTGGTCAACACTCCCATGTGCATATTCCCCTCCCCCACCTCATCTCCCATAAAAATGTGAACTCTTTGCGGGCAAGCCTGTTCCCCTTTCGAATGTGTATCTTCATCACTCATAACACAGTGCCTGGCAAATAGTAAGCACTCAGTAGAAGCCTTTTCATTCATTCATTCATTCATTCATTCATTCATTCATTCACGAAGGCCTGACCTGGTGGCAGCTGAAGGAGACTTATACAAAGATATTGTGGAAGTAGAAATGAGGCATATAGTTAATGACCATTTCCTTTCCTGTTGACAAACCCCTATTTTTCTGCCTCACCTGGTCCTACTGAAATCAAAGGACACTCCAGGGCGCTCACAATTGCCACGAGATTCAGGCTTATTCTTCCATAGTCAGCAGTAGCTGAGAGTCTAGGGAAGGCTTTGAGATGGATCTTCACTCCTGTGGTCTTGGCACTAGTATGATTTTTTTTTTTTTTTGCCCAAGGCTTCCTGTGACATTTGGTTTTCTCTTCAAGGCTGTGGGGGAGAAGGGGAGGGAGGCTTCAGAGCCCCAGGCAAATCATACTGCATACCCCTAAGCACATTTTTAAACCAGTGAAAAAGAGCTAAAAGGCAGAGCCCTGAAGGAGAGGGAGAAAAGGTATAAAAGTTCACTTTTCAGCCTGAGGGGATGTGTGGAAAAGGGAAGGGGTAGGCCCTACACTTTGTCTGGAAGAGGGGGGAAGAGTTTGTTTGTCTAAGAGCCTCAGGTCTCTCTTAATGAAGATAATAGCTAGCATCACATAGTGCTTTGGAGATGCAAAGCTCTTTACACATCATTTGACACTCATAACAGAAGTAAGATAGGTGTTATTATTATCCCCATTTTACAGATGAGGAAACTGAGGCTGAAGAAGGTTCAGAGGCTTGCCCAGAATCACACAGTTAATGCCTAGGGCAAGATTTAAACTCAGATCTCTCACATTCCAAATCTAGCACTCTCTATCTGCTATGTCAAGTAGCTGCCTTTTTCCTTTAGGTTCTGAACCCTTCCTGACTGCCTTTCTGAGTTGTCATTCAGTCATTTCAGTTGTGCCTGACTCTTCATGACCCCATTTGGGATTTTCTTGGCAAAGATACTGAAGTAGTTTGCCATTTCCTTCTCCACTTCATTTTTACAGATGAAAAAACTGAGGAGGGGCAGCTAGGTGGCCCAGTGGATAGAGCACCAGACATGGAGTCAGGAAGACCTGAGTTCAAATCTGAGCTCAGACACTTGACACTTACTAGCTGTGTGACCTTGGGCATGTTGCTTAACCCCATTACTTACCAAAAAAAGAAAAAAAACTGAGGCAAACAGGGTTAAGTGACTTGCCCAGGGTCACACAGCTAGCTAGTAAGTGTCTGAGGCCAGACTGTTTGTGTGACCCTGGGTTCATAGCATTAAAGATTTAGTAGTAGGAATGACATCAAAGGATATCTAGTCCACCCCCACCTCACCCCTCCTTCACTTTACAGATGAAGAAACTGAGGCCCAGGGAGCCTTGTGGCTTGCCCAAGGTCACTCAGCAGTACTGGAATTTGAACTCATTCCCTCTGAGAGCAAGAACAGCACATTTTCTTCTTTACCACAACAGACACTGCAGGTATACTGAGCAATTCCCCTTCCCCCCAGCTTTGGACCCCTCTCCAGTTCTCAGCTCTCAGGAAGGTTGGTCGGCCTTGGTCCACAGCTCTGACCTTGGCTTCCTGCCTCTTCTGGGATCAGCTGAAACCTCTAGGCTGTCTGTGTTTTTTCAAGGCTCCCTGATCCTCTAAGCAATTGTTTTCCAAAGCATTTATGAAAATCCGTTTTCCTCTTCCCCTTCTTTTAGAAGAGCCTTCTTAATGAGCCCCTCTCCCGGCATTAGCAGGAATTGACATAACTGTGAAATTTAAATTGTCAAGCCAATTAAGTTATGCTCTCAGCAAGTTTATACAAATCACTTCTGAGAAGTTACAAACCGATTTTTCTTTTATGAGAACTCTATTGCCTGAAAAACCAACTGCATTTTATTATATTCATGAACCACCTCTGGAAATGAATTTTAAACACTAGAAGATGCTTTAAAAATGCTTCAAGATTTTCCAGTGTCCAGACCCCAGACCCAGGGCGCTACCCACATGAAGGAATGACACACCTTCCTGAATCCTCAGCATCCTTGTGAAACCTTGTATTTTTCCAAGACTCTAGGCACTCTGCCATCCAGTGACATTGGGCTTCTGGCTGTTACTCACATAAGATATCTATCTCCCAACTCTGTGGTGTTCACTGGCTGTCTCCCCTGCCTGGAATGTTCTCCTTATTCATTCCTAGCTCCTGGCATCCCCCTTCCACCTTTGACAATTCTCTGAATGCTAGTGCCTTTCTTCTATGATTGCTTGTGATTTGTTCTGTATGTAGCTTGCTTGTACATAGTTATTTGTATGTTGTGTCCTTCACTGGAATGTGAGCCACCTGAGGGCAGGCTTTGTATCCCCAGGCTTAGCACAGTGCCAATCAGTCAGTCAAAATACATTTATTCAGTGCCTACTATGTGCCAGGCACTGTGCTACCTACATGCTGGGGGTACAAGAAGAGGCAAAAGACGGTCCCTGCCCTCAATGACCTTACAGTCTAATGGGGGAGACATCAAGCAAACGTATGTAAACTAGATATGTGCAGGATAAATAGGAAGTGAGAGAGAGAAGGCACCAAGATTAAGAGGAGTTGAGCAAGACTCCTGTAGATGGTGGATTTAAGTTGGGATGGGATTCTTAGGCTTGAGGGACAGCCAGAAAAAAAATGCCTGGATTAGAGAGAGATGGAATGTCTTGTTCACGGAACAGCCAAGAGACCAGTGTCAGTGGACCAAAGAGTATAGGCAAGAAGGTGTAAGAAGGCTGGAAAGGGAGGAGAGAGATAGGTTATGAAAGGGTTTGAATGCCAAACAGAGGATTTTTTATTTGATCCTGGATGTAATAGGGAACCATTGGAGTTCATTGCATAGGGGGGTGTCATGATTGGACCTGCACTCTAGAAGACTCCCTTTGGTGGCTGACTTGGATGATGGATTATAGTGGAGAGAGACTTGAGGTGGGAAGACATAAGGTGATGAGAATGCACCACAGTGGTGGCTGCATTGGAGGAGAGAAGGGATTGTATTTGAGAGGTGTTTCAAGGGTAAAAGAGGCAGGCCTTGGCAACAGAATGGATATGAGTGTTGAGAGATAGTAAAGAGAAGAGGTTGACACCTAGGTTACAAGGCTAAGAACTGGGAGGATGGTATTGCCCTCTACAGTGAGAGGCAGGTGGGGAGGGTTTAGGGGAAAGATAATGAGTTTTAAATGTATTGAGTTTAAATCTGTTGGATATCTATTTTGAGATGTCTGAAAGGCAGGTGGAGATGGGAGATTGGAGGCAGAAGAGAAGCACATAGTAGGCACATAGCACATATCTATTGGTTAATTGAGTGATCCTAATCCAACCACACACAGTGGGTTGGATTTGTTACATTTAACCCATTCTCTGCTAGACTAGAGCAAAAAAAAAAAATCACAGCACCATAGAATCTCAGAGCTCAAAGGGACTTCAATGACCTTCTATTCCCACTTATAGCTAAAAATGATTCCTATAATAACATATCCAACAAGTGGTCACATAGCTGCAGCTTGAATATGTTGGTGTGGTAGAAAGAATGCTGCATTTAGAGTAAGAAGATATGGGTTAAAATCCCAGCTCTACTACTTATTACCTGTGTGACCTTGGGCAAGTCACTTAAGTTCTCTGGGCCTCAGTTTCCCCACATGTAAAATGAAGGGTTTGGTCTAGATCACTTCTATGGTCCCTTCTAGATCTAAATCTAAGATCTCATCATCCTCTGACTTCTTTAAGGCTATTCGACTTTTGTCTAGAAAGTCCTTAGACCAAGCATAGATGGGTCTCTTTCCAGTTCCCAGCCTTTGCTCCTAGTACTGTTCCCTGGAGCCAAGCAGAGCAAGATTCTGATCCTTTTTCCATAGTAAAGCCTTTCAGATACTGGAGGATGTTGACTTCTCACCTCCTTCTCACAATTGCTTCCAGTCTTCTCCTCAGCTCATTCAACAAAAAGAAGAGAAACTTCTGGGTAGCACAAGTCTTGTGGGAAATGTAGAATCTCAGAATCCAACCTCTTCAGGAGAAGACTCTCCAGAAATTTGGCACTGACCAGGAAATTTCCCTCCCTCTATCCATGAGGTTGGGGAAGGGGGACTCCTCTCTCCATCACTGCCATGTCTGAAGCTGCCTCTTGAGAACCAGGGCCAGGAACCCAGAGTCCAGACTCTTCTAGGACAGTGCTGGTAAAAGAATGTTTAATCACCACTTGTGCCTTTACCCCAAAGTGGACCAGTAGCTCCTAGGAAGAGCACAGGCTTCACACACACACACACACACACACACACACACACACACACACACACACATAAAGGGTCTGACCTCTTATAAAGTTCAAAGATAAAGGGGAACACAATCTAAGACAATCAGCCTTCCTGGGTATGCCAACCATCTTAATGAAGTTATTGATGAGTATGTCCACATGATCTATAGGAAAATATAATCAAAGTCCCAAAGGTTCATCATCCTGTTAGCTTTTCAAGTTATTAGGAAACTCTTCTGATTAGGGTCTCAATACTACTTCCTATATTGTGTGTGTGTTCAGTCATTTTTCAATTGTGTCTAACTCTTTTCTTGGCAAAGATACTGGAGTGGTTTGCTATTTCCTTCTCCAACTCATTTTACAGATGTGGAAACTGAGACAAATAGAGTTAAGTGACTTGCCCAGGGTCACACAACTGGTAGGTGTCTAAGGCCAGGTCTTCCTGATTACAGACCTAGTACTCTGTCTATGGCCACCACCTAGGTGCCAACACTGTTCCACACATCCATTCTACTGTCCATGACATTGGTGAGTACTTTAGGAAAGCTCATGCCTCCTTGCTTTATACTTTGCCTAATTTCATTACCTAGTAGATCATTGAACAGTTATCTTTTTAGTTACAACTGTTATGGAATCTTGTGTATAAAAAGTCTTCAAAGTTTACGTTTCATCTACTTAGTCAAATGCTTTTTTAAATTTAAAAAAGCAACAAACAAACAAACAATGGGGTCTTATATCAGCTCATCTTGATCAGTTGTGTGATAGTAGACATGTAGTTAACTGTAGAAAATCTTCCACTAAAGGCAGCTGAATCTCCACCTGTGTGTTCAGGGACCCTGTCCTTGTTCAAAGTGAGCATAGACTGGGCCCAAAAACACTTTGTAGAGATGAAAAAGCAGGAGCATGAGTTCTGATGTTTTCTCAGCTTTTGTTGTTGTTGTTGTTAGAGCATCATCTACAATCTTTGGGAAACTATCCCTCTACGGCCTATCTTTGAAATCAATACCTGAGTGC